CGAGCCTTACAGTTTGCCACCTGTGGCTCCTTTGGTGGTCATTTTCTTTATCAAGTTTTACCCAAGGATGATGAGAGGATTTTCTTGTGGGATTGTGAGAACTCAAAAATCTTGAAGTTGTCCGTTTACGTTTGGAACTTTTATCCTGTGCTTTGTGGATCCATAAAGAGTTCTCTGGATTCTAGCCGGACTTCCATCTTGGAGAGGTCTCGATGTTATCTCAGGGTTCGTCAAAGTCAATTCGGTCTTCCATTCATGTTACCCTTCCACATCTTTCTGAGTTGGTTATGTTGGGAACCTGCGGGGTTTAGGAGGAGTCTTCATCCTCAGAGTCTGCCTGTGCAGTATTGTTGGAATTTGCAAGTACTTGTTTATACTTGAGTGCTTTGAATCGAAGGCTCCTTTTTGGAATTTTTTTTATTCTTTTTACCCATAATGCCATATCAGGTTTTCACCACGTCCATTTTTTTTATGTTCTTTCCTTTTTCCGTTGTGATGCCTTTTCAGGTTTTCGCCATACTTTTGAGCCCGTTATGGGTAGTATTTTCTGAGATGCATCGCATTAATGGGGTCGTTGAGTTCATACCCCTCTTGGTTTTTGATCTTGTAAGAATTACCTGCATGCACTCGGGTAACCACGAATGATCCCTTCCAATTAGGTTTGAAACTGCCTAAAGGTTGTGGATTTGCAGGAGAGTGGAAGATTTTCTTGAGTACCGTATCCCCTTCTTTGAACTGTCGAGGAACAACTTTTCTTTGGTATGCCCTCTCGATCCTACATTGATAAGCAACATTATTTTGTGTCGCTCATAGTCGTATTTCATCCAAATTAACGAGAGCAGCGATTTGTACTTCGATCTTTTGTCCCTCATCTAAATTTCTATGAATGAGTGCTTAGAGAGATGGTATCTCAAATTCAATGGGTAGCACTACTTCCATACCATACACCAATGAGTATGGGGTCATGTCAATAAGAGTCTTCTCAGTTGTCCGGTAGGCCCATAGGGCGTCGTTTAGTTTTTCGTGCCAATCTTTGCCACCTTCTATTATTCTGTCTATTATTTTAGAGAAGTCCTTTTTTTTGTGGCCTCTGCTTATCCATTTCCTTAAGGGTAGTAAGGTGTGGATAATTTCTGCGTTATCTTAAACTTTTTACACACCTTTTCATTTATGAAATTGGATTCATAGTCGGTAATGATTTACTCAGGAACACCAAATCTGAATACAATATTGTTATTTATGAAACAGGCAACATGTTGTCCTTCTATTTTGACAAATGATGCGGCCTGTACCCATTTTGTGAAGTACTCTGTAGCCATTAATATAAAACGGTGGCCGTTTGAGGCTTTTGATGATATCATTCCGATGATATCAAGATCCCACATGGCAAAGCGCCATACGAGTCGTGTTGAGTTGAGTGGTGCGGACGGCGGCGCATGGATGAGGTCTCCTTGAAGTTGACATTTGGGACACTTCTTGACGAACTTCCAACAATCTTCAGCCATGGTGGCCCAGTAATAGCCTTTGGCGCCTGATTTTCTGAGATAAGGGCGGCTGCCCCAGAATGGCCTCCTTCATTGTATAACTATGTCAGTACTTGGTCGATTTCTAGCTGATCGAGACACCGTAGAATGATGCCATCGAAGGATTTCTTGAATAGGAGGTCATCTCTTACCAAGAATCCCATCAAAAACCTTCGAAGGGCTTCTTTATCCTTTTTGGTGGCTCCTTCGGAGTATAACCCATCTTTTAGTAGGGATAAAACATAGTGGAGTGGAACAATGGTTTTTCCTTAACTAGTGCATCTGAAGCCACGAGAGACACTTTCCCATCGTTCTCATTTTCTTGCTCTATTTCATTTTTGATCCTTGGTGGGGAAGGGTCATGTTTGTTCCTGATGTAGAATGAGAGGGTGGTGATTTCTGGGAGAATATCAACTATTGAGGCAAAGGTTGCAAGGGTGTCGACGAACTGATTATTTTTCCTAGTTACATGCTAAAAGATGATTTTCTTAAAATATGGGATCATCTTTTCCACCTTTTCTTGATAAGGTTTAAGTTTTTCTTCTTTCACCTTCCAAATCCCTTGAACTTGGTTTATGATGAGTAAGGAGTCACCAATCACTCGTATTTGCTGGATTTTCATTCCCATGGCATTCTCGAGCCCAGGTATCAAGGCTTCATATTCAGCAATGTTATTGGTACATGGAAAATTCAATCTGATGGCTGTTGGCATTAAAATCTTCTCGAGTGAGCATAATATGTCTCCTATACCTGACCCGTACTCATTCTTTGCACCGTCAAAGTATAGCTCCCAAATTGAGTCCTCAATTGTGAAGAGGTACCCATCAGGGAGATCCGTGTTGACAGGAGTGTTATCTGGTAGTGCGTGTTTAGCTAAGTGATATGCAATGGCTTGTCCTTTAATCGATTTTTGAGTAACATATTCGATCTCGAACTCACTCAATAGCATTCACTACTTTGCCAAATGCTCATTAAGGATTGGTCTCTCCAATAGGTACTTGAGTGGGTCTATTTTTTGGATGAGCTTGACTGTATGAGATAAGACAATGTCTTAACTTCTGCATAGACCACACAAGTGATAAGCAATGCTTCCCCACATTCGTGTATCTTGTCTCATAGTCGACCATGGTTTTGCTGATGTAGTATATCGTTTGTTCTTTTCCATGGTCATCGTACCATCCTAACATTGCCCCCATGGTCTTGTCTTTCATAGATATGTATAGGAATAGGGGTTTATTTGGATTAGGAGGACTAAGGATGGGAAGTTTGGTGAGGTACTCCTTGATTTGGTCGAATGCTATGATGAATTTCATCATATTAGTGTGGAGCCATTCATTCAGACCATAGTTACCAAGAGCGCCCATGTGGGGTCCACTTCTACCCCCGAATCGAGATCCCGTGCACTGATCGGATCTCGATTCCAGATGCTTCCTTGCATATTAGGATCTCATACCCAAAGTTATGGGAATTGGATTCTTATTATTTGGGATCAAGTTCCCTAGCAAGTGGGATCCAAATCCGCATGCGCAAGATCATGGCTCTAATATCACTCCGAGCCACGATTTCATCATACCAAGAACCAAGTATCCTATGAGCGAGCTACTCTTACAAAGTTTATTTTATTCATTTATAGTATTCGATTTTCCTCAAATCATCTAGCAATTGCTATATGGTTCCCACAATTTTAACTTAAAGCAATCAACCTAGTGTGTTATTTTGAGCCTTTTGACTGAGGGAGGAATGTACAATATGCTTGTGAATGAGCACAATACATGTGCTCAATCGTCGATTACAAACTTAGTTGAAATGGGAAATCTAGCCCATCATTAAGTGTCAATAGTATAGACTTGAGAAGGGTAATTCTTGCCTCAGCATTGAGTGCCAATTTAGAGAAGGTATTGTATAATTAAGGGGTAGCTATGCATAGTATACCACAAGACAGTTTTTTACTGAATTTGATGTGAAATCATGCTCCAATGCATCACAATAAGGTTTTTCACTGAATTCGGTATGAAATAATGCTCCAATGCACCCTAATACTGATATTTGCTGAAATTGGTATGAAATAGTGCTCCAATGACAAAAAATTCAAAAGAAATCTCAATGCCATGATTTTTTATTACATTGATGCCTTGGAACCACGTATTTGCAAAGAGTTAAACATGATATCTAATGGAACTCGCTCTTAGTTTGCAATATACGGAAGTAGTGAACTCCAGAAAACCTCGATCCTAAGGAAGGCACAATGTGATCCCTTTTGGTTGGGAACCTGCTCCTATCCTGATAGTACTGTGCTCCGCTCTCTATAAGTCATGAAACTCACTCCCATCCCCAGGCCATGTACGGAGTTCGCTTTGCTGCCCATGGAACTTTGAGTTAGACTCACTCCGTGCTCTCGTTTCTGTTCCTGTAACTTCTCACTTTTCTGCTCTCGGTAACTTTGATTCAGACTCTTAATTTTTAATCAAGTCCTATGATAGAGCTACTGTGCATCAGAAAATGATGTTAGTAATGGATTTTATGACGAGGCGGTATTTCTTACCAACAATTGTGAAATAACAATGATATAAATAAAGTTGTAAGATACCAAATAAGAAAGTTAAATTAACTAATTGAGTTATGCTAGTCCATTTGCCTCATTTCATCCTCACCTCACATTCACGAGTAGCCCATACGTTTTCTGGTGTGAGTTTGAAAAACAGTTAAAAAATGTTACATTATCAGGCTTGCATTGCTTTTCTTCATCCTTTCTAAATCTCCTGCACTGCCATATGTACTGAAGGTGCCGTCGAAAAGTGGGTTATCTTGAATAACCCAGAAATTATAACTATCTCAATATCAAGCATCTATTTCAGATCGTCCTTTACTCCATCTGTTGACAAGATAGCTAAGTGATACAATTGGGTTTCACACCATCCATTTTCATCATGCAGAAAATACCCTCCGATGCATTCAATGTTTCAAGATTAGCAGTAACAAAGGAACTCTTGCTCAGGTACCTGATATTTATTTATATCTACAGATAAGATTTTAACAGCATTGATAGTCACATATTGTGATGCACATGCAGTGTTTAAAAAATCGAACCAAAACGGTTAACCGAATATGGGCATGGAAGAGGTTTAACAAGCCTAACCAGTAAATCGGCCGATTCAATTGCTCTAGCCGGGCAAGTCTTGGGCGGTAAAAAAAGTGTTGAGAAAAAATAAAAACTACAAAAAAAATCCACTGAAATATACAAAACATATAAAGAATGATTAAAACAAAACACATTCAAATGAAGTTGAAAATTAATGGAAAAAATGGATTTTAACCCATTTTATATTTTCCAAGGGCTATTTTAAAAAAATTTCTAAAAAAGATGGAAAAATATAAGAGCAAGTATTAATGACCAAAGAAATTTTTAAGTTTTACCATAATGTAAATAATATTTTAAAATGTATTACAACTCAAATTCTTTATTTTTGAGAATTTATATACATTTTTTAAATTTGTTTTTCAAAAATACCGGTTCATCACCCTAACCATCCAAAACCGGAACCGGCCACTGGCCGGTTCCATTCTAACCGGGCGATTAGTGGTTAGATCAGGCAATTTTGTAAAGAATATGAACATGCATTCTCATGTACCATTTTTACTTTTGCTATTTTGTGTCAGTTTTACATCTTTATTCCTGGAGCTGTAATCAACAATTGATTTTGTCATTTGCTAAATTGGAAATTTAGTTGGGAGACTTTGTGTTGAGAATGAGAGTCTGGTCAATAAATTGCCAACTAGGGAGCTGTGAAATGCACGTGAGTTAGAACTAGGAAATGAAATATAATTGCTTTCAAGGAAGAAACAACTTTTGAGGTTTATAAACGTCTAGTTCTAGGTGTTACTCTTTGTTCTATGGACAAAGAGTAGGCGTTCTTTGGGTAGATTTTAGGGTTAAGCATCATCATGTCCATTGTTATTATGATTGTCTATCCTATGGAATATTTCCAATCATTGTTTGCTAATTTACTGCACATATGTGTTCCAAATCAAAAAACAATTGTCTTCTTTTCTGACGATAGTATTTTGTAAATATTTTTCTCGTTGCAGTTTTTAATAGTGATTACTCAAATACTGGATTGAGAGTTGATTAACATAATGGATGGAGATGCATTTTTATAAAACAAAGAAAGAAAAACAAAATAGGGTGGAGATACCTTGAATAAAGAGTTTCATGTTTGGTTAATGACGAACTATTGTTGTGCGTAGTAAGTAGTATTGAGCTTTATAACTCACTTTATAAGAGGATCTTGCGTTTGCTTTCCAAGCATATGTTGCTGAAAAAGAAGGGTTACTAATTTATAAGATGACAGAGCATAAAAGACAAATTTGTGAGGGATACAATGTGATGTTACCAAAAGCTGACAACCCTTTACTCTACTGCTGCCTGGTGGATTGGCAATGCCATGTGAATTATATGTTTCAGGTAATTTCTTTTCCCTGAGCCTTAGAGTTACCATTGAATGTAAATTTTTCCAATAAATGTACGATTCTTATTGAATATTTTCTCTCTTTTTCTCCGTATCTTTAAAATTTAGCAGGTTTTGTTCTATATTTGTTGTGGCTTCTTGGTAGCAAGGCTAAATAAGTTCAATATCTAGGTTTCTTGTGGTGGATTACGTGAAAGCTCAAGATCTGGGCCATTTTTGTTTTTTGCTATGTCAACACAAAAGAATACACTAATAAGGAAAGTAAATATGTCATAAAAACTAAGAGCCTCCTAATGAAGGATTGCTATTGTCAGGCCTAAATTGCCTAAACCAGATACTACACCGATAACTCAAAACCTATGCAAGTTTAGCCATCATGTTCTGCTCATAGAAATTCCTTGTAAAATTTGGCACGGATCCTATCCATTTGTTACTCGGACGCCATGTCTTAGCGAGGCATTTGATACTATATTGCTCCTTTGATACACATGATTTGAAATTTAGACCATACTGGCATGAGTTTCCCAAAATATAGTTGTTGGATCACGCTCAACCTAGCTATGTATTATGAAAGATATAATCCCTAGCAAAGTGTGCTTTCTAGTAACAGGAAACTGGTCTTCCATGTGTGTCAATAATCGCCACATTGAGTTCCTTTCCCAGCCAATGTCTAGCTCTCAAACATTAATTGCCACCTGTTTGTCCCTAGGTTCCATATGTGGGGTAAGCAAGAAGGACATGATCCATGCCACCTTATCATCTTGGCAAAATAGTTTGCTAAATAGTCGAGTCCAAACTGCTTTTTGCTCAAGCAAGTTTGTTGCATTGTAGATGGTGTGGGTACTGACCTAATTTCAGATCAGGTCTCCATTATTGGTTTAATAATGGTTATCTTTAGGCGTTATTATCGATATCGAAATATAAAGTATGAAGCTACTCATAGGTATAGTCTCTCTCTCTCTCTACTAATTCGTTGATGGTTCTTCTACGTAAGGGTTGACCATTGGGCCCTTATGTAGACATAAATTCAACCAAAAGAACTTGAAACCAATATATTTTAAAGAATGTAGAACCGGATATAATATTGGCATTAGATTTAATGCTAATCGATCTGTATCCAGGAAAATCATTATTCTTTCAAGAGACATAAGATATTGAATTACATTGGAAATACTAGTGTACTCGTGTTTTATTTTGAAATTTCAGTTAGATTATATTTCCTCCTTTATATATATATATATATATATATATATATAGTATGTAGAATAGTAGTTAACAACACCTTAACCGACAAGTTTTAGTGAGCATGGTGAAGTTCGATTGATAGTTTTCCATATTTTTTGGTTTATTTTTTCTTTTATGACAGCAAAAAATATATACAGGGAGACACTAGCAAAAATTGGAGACAAGAAGCAATAGAAATGGGAAATTGAACATCGTTTCAACTGCTTTCAACAACTTAATTGGTATTTCCTCTTAGAGTGACTTAGTAAAATTTCCAATTTTTTTGTCAAGCTTTAGCAAGAAAATTATGTCATAAATCTTCTGATTTTAGGGTGGGTGGGGAGGGGGGGGGAGAATGGGAAATAGCTAAAAAGAGGAGAAAAAGAAAACCTACATTGTTTTCTTGTTTTACACACATAGAGAGATGTCATCATAATAATATCCTATCATTTTTTCTTCAAATAACAAACAAGCTTATTGACATGGATATAAAACTATGTCTACATAAACGTCAATGTTTGCATGTAATAAACAATGTTACTCACATATATAAAACTATGACTACATATACATGCATGCTTGCATGCAAATTTATTATCAATTTATCACACCCACAAAATAGTTATGAAATTTATCCTATATATTGTTTGGCTTGAACAGTTCTTTGCCCAGCATGTTAATAGGTTTGAATAATCCTCGTATCCTCCCTCATCATCTTGACATCTGCATGAAGCTCAACCATTCACATAGCAATAGATACCTTCACATCTCCACTTCGTGTAGGTTGGGTTTTTCTTCTTTCCATGCTATTCAGTTGTGATTTTTCTCATTTCTATAATGCTTAGGTGTGATTTTCCTCATTTTGACTTCGAAAATACCCCCAAATTCTCTTGGATCTAATGATTGAGTTCAAATCTTCAATCTCATCCTCGTTCGCCATCATAAGAAGTGATAAAAAAAGCAATAGGTGATGAATCAATAAAACGCTGAAGCCTTTGGCTGTTTTCTTGTTTTACACACAATAGAGAGATGTCATCATTCTAATATACTAACATTTTTTCTTTGTAAAACAAACAAGCTTAGTAACATGCATATGAAACTATAACTACTGATACGTGCATGTTTGCATGCAAATTTACTATCAATTTATCACACCCACAAAATAGCTACAAAATTTGCCCAATATATTGTTTGATTTGAACAATTTTTTACCCCGCATGTCATTAGGCTTGAATAGTCCTCATATCTTTCCTCATCATCTTCACATCTGCATGAAGCTCAACCATTCACATAACATTACATACCTTTACATCTCATCTTCATGTAGGTTAGATTTTTCTCATTTCCATGCTGTTCAGTTGAGATTTTTCTCATTTCCATAGTACTTAGGTGTGATTTGCCCCATTTCAACATTGAAAATACCACCCAATCTTCTAGGATCAAAGGATTAAAGTTTGGATCTTCAATCTCATCCTCATTCGCCATTAGAAGTGACAAAATTATTGTTTTCTTCTCTTGTTAGCAAACTAAAAGGATCAGTTTTATCCAAAACCTAAGAGAACAGGGATTGTTCTCTTAAGAATAATCAAAATCTCGATTCAACAAGGGCTTTTGGTAGAAATAGTCTATTGATATAGATCTCTACATGATGTGCCCAGTCCTGAGCAAAAGAATGGAAAAGGAAAAGGGTGGGCTGATGGGATTTGTGTTTTTCTCCTTACAAAGAACGAATAAAAAGGATGAGAATTAACTTATTAAAAATAAGCAATGGGAGATGAATCAATAAAAAGATGAAGCCTTTGGATGTGAGAGAGATGGCTGCAAGTTGTATGAGAGAGAGATGGCATTCTCTATTTAAAATGTGGGACGATGAGTTACTTAACCCACCAATTTAGCTGACCATGGTTAACTAAAACTGGCATTTATTAATTACTTTTAGATATTCCTCCTAATTTATTCTTGACATGCCCATCTCTTTATTTTAGTATTTGTTCCCTCATTTGGTTTAATCTTGGCATGCTTGTCTTTATCCATTATTAATGCCCTATGGAAAAAACTAACTCTACATTGTCAAATTTTAGCAATGTTGACTTACAACTAGGATACAGCCAAACTTTCTATAGTCTCTCTAAATGCATTGAGACATAAGTGAGTTCTAATTGAAAATAGCATTATCTTCTAATTTGTATTAATCCTCATTCCTGACTGATGCATTCTTTGCATATGTGATATGTTTCTCATAATAACATTGATTGTTTACTAAAATAGTCTAGCGGTGCCATTTATTTACATTAGGACATTCAAACTTTGTCTGTTTTACTTAATGCGTTTTCGAGATGCCCAAATTTTTACTTAACATTGATTTGGAGAAAAATATCTTTTGAATAATCAATCCACATCTCCCTAAAATTTTTGTTAAGCATGCTCGATTACCCGTCTTCTAGTTTGTAATGTCAAAAAAGCATTGTCATTTTTAAGTAAATAGCATTTTTAAGTAAATGATGCATTTTCTAAAAGGCCTAGGCTTTATGAAAACAAAGTAAAGCCTCATCTCGAATCCTTTTCCAGAAAGCACTTTGGGCATTGGAAATCTCCACAATGGCTCTAAAATCAATTTTCAATAACGACTATAAATTTTGGAGCTAAAAAAATGGTACAGATCCTACGGATCAGTGAATGCTTATTTTTAGGGAAAAATAGATGGTCTAGAAAATGTGTTACAATTTTTGGCTTGAAATCTTAATTTTTTCACAACCGTAATAGTCAAAGCCGAAATTATGGATATGAAATTTTTCCAACATTGTAACTACAATTTTCGAAGAGTTTTGAGGTGAGGCTTTATTTAATTTGATAGGACTATGATCCTATCAAAACATTTTATTTGAGTAAAGTGATATTTTGACATGAAAACAACATTTATTTATTGGAAACTATCATTTATATGGTCTTTTAGACACGATATAAAGTCAACATTTTCAAATAAAAATATCATTTATATAGTCAAACCACCATAAAAGATCAATAGTGGTGTTAAATCAACTATTTTACTTATAAAGTGGCTACTTTTTAAAATGGATACCTCTCCAAGGATTTTGTTAACAATGCTTAAAAATGCCCTTCTTTGAGGATTGTAACCCCAATCTATCATGGCTCTTCAAGTAAATTGATGTATTTAAATTATTTGATCCAAATGGCATAAATACATTTTCAAAACTGGAATATCAATCTACATTGAAAACAATTTTATTCCAGATTTGGAATTTGGAACAAGTAGCTTCATTTTTTAGTTTAGCCCCTCTTAAGTCAATTGAGTCCAAAGATATGAATACCCTTGCCTTTTTTTAGGTTCCAAACTCAAAACATGATTTTTTAAGGAAACTTCGAGATCGAATTCAAGAAAATGACATTTGGTTCATTTGGCTTTACTCACTTATGTTGCCAAATTACCAAAATACAATATCTTGTTCAGAGTTCTAAATATAGAAAGAGGCACTTGGGTATTTTCATTAAAATAATTGAGGAGGTTCCCAAATTTTAAGAAGTAACCACTTGTTGGTAATTTACTTCATATTATTAACCAATCTAACCTTATTTTTTTTGATGTGGCATGACCATTCTATTCCCTTTGGTAGTATTTATGAATGTTAAATGTGGTGGCTTAAATCTAATGCAAACAGGGTAATTTTGACAAAAAAATGAGTATTTAATTCCAACTTCGTCCTTGCTGGAAAGGAATAAGAGCCATTTTCATTTCTCCAACAAAAACCTCCAAATAATTAACAACATAATTTAAGGACATTTTGTCATTACTAAACAACCAAGGGTGGCTTTCTAAGAAGTGAAGGGCTAGAGAAATCACTTATGGAAAACCGGATTTTTGGCTCAGCTAATGTTAATGAGCTTTAGTGGCCTAAATTAATGATAGTTAACTAATTCATAATAGAATAAATGCTAGCTAGATAAAAAATATCTAAAAACATGGGAAACATTTAATGACATTAAACATGCAACATTAAGTTTATACCCAGGGCTTTAAAATTGAAAAGCTTTAAACATGCAACATTAAGTTCATACCCAGGGCTTTAAAATGGCGGTGATTTGAACGAATTTGAACAAATTCTACTAGGTCAAAAACTTGACTCAAAACGATTGAAAGTTGCTACAATTTTCTTGCATCAGTGGGTAATGATGTACCCACACATTTCGGGGCGTAACTCAAATTTTACGAGAAATCTCAAAATTATCAAAACATACAACTTCAAGCTTATTCACTGATCTTTCAAATGGTAGAAGTTTGAAGATGTTTGGACACCGTTTAGTTGGCAAAAATTACGGCACAAAAAGGGTCACAGTTGTTGGAATTAACCACAACTGTGAGCAGTGATATTCCCCAACATTTTGGAGCATATATTTTGATCCATACAAAATTTTAAAAATAAGAAAGGAAAACTTAAAATAGACTTGCATATCTTTCATTAAAAACCAATTTGGACCCATTTGGGTGCCGTTTGGTCGTCGAAATATTAAGGCAAAGACCCTCAGTTGCTGGAAAAATCCCTTATCCTACGATTTAACAAGCTATCCACATGATACACACCATTTCACAAGCCTAATACAAAACCCAACACAAGCCTTATTCCTGTCAAGCAATTTAAGCAAGTTTTACAAGGAAATGACTCTATAAATTTATCAAGTTCATTACTTAATGCTCAATCACTCATTCAACCCCTTTATATTCATTTTTTTTTATACACCTCATTCTATCATCTTGCTCTTCATAGCAACTTAAATTTAGATCTTATGACGTGAAATGATGCACGACACTAAACCCACTTACCTGGTGTTCACAGTGTCCTAAACTCTCCCACTCGCGGCCACCTCGAGCTCTAAGCAATGGCTTCTCCAAGGCGTTAACTCCCACTGGTTCTAGAGAGAGAAAGTGCAAAAGAAAAGTGAGGGGAACCGTGGTTAAAAGAGGAGGGGAGAGCCCTTAAGTACTCAGGGTAGGTGAAGGTCATTGTATCTGACGTGTACGGCTTTGATAGACGCAGTGCTGACACGTACGGCATGGACAAGTGCGGCGCTGGCAGCGGTCACATCTTTTCCCCTTCTCTACCTTCATGTGTGGCGATACTCCAGTTCATGCGCGGCAATGCTCCAAATGCCACTACACTCGCAGCGATGCTCAAATTTTCACTCGCGGCGATGCCTTTTTGCACGCGGCATTGCTCTTCCTTCTCTC